ATACCTGTAAACAAAAAAATAAATGTATAACACAGCCATGACAACGTTCTTCTTCCTGTGTTGTCAGGGAAGTCACTCTACCAAAGTGGAGGCAGTTGTGAGAACTCTGAAAAAGATTCAAGTGACCAACCCCGGGGCCAAATGTCTCGTCTTCTCCACGGTAACAGTAAACTATCCGCACTCTTCAAGGCTTACTTTGGCGATATCGAGTTTGGATCTGACCTGTTTTGTTGCCTTTTCTCTTGTGCACAGTGGCAGAGTGTCCTGGACATCATCGCCAAGGCCTTGTTTGACAATAACATGGAGTTTGCTCAAATCAACGGAATTCACAAATTTCAGGTTTGAATTTGACACATAATGTTTTTTAATACACACCCCTGCTTTTTAACTTTTGTATTGTTTTGTTTTTTGTTGAAATACCACAGACTGTATGATCGAGTTAAACATTTGCAGTAAACCCCCCTGTCTAAGGACTGTCTAAATACCTACCTACTAGGTTTTCCTTGGTGTGTATTCTCCACCACCAGCAGCTAAAACAGCTGTTCGGCTTGCTGCTACACCTTGTTCTTCATTTGAGGTTGTTTTTGTTTTGTTTGTTTTTTTACCTGAGATCACTCCCTTGACAGCACATCACCCCTAAACTCAATATTTCTTCCTTTACCCCGGGCCGCATGTTTTTTTTTTGTGTGTGAGCTATACTGCCAACAAACCAACAGGTTGATCAACTGGAGATGAATTCCTGCCTCTCATATGCAGAGACTTAATAACAATTAAGGTTTTTCTGTAGTAAAATACAATATAAAGACTATAATGAATAAATTCATTGTCTATGTTTTTTGTGTAATACAAAGGAGAAACTGGATAAAATCGGCACGTTAAATAATTGTTTGAATTTGAAAATACACAGTATTTAAATTCCAGTATAAATTTTCAGGGGATCCTTATTTTTTTCTTAAAAGAAATCAATTACAGAAGCATCTCTTGATACAGATATGACTGTAATTTGTTCATTATTGCACTTTTCATTGTGGTTTTCCAGGAGAATCTAAGTTCCTTCAAGTACGAAGAGAAGATCAACATTCTTCTTCTACCTCTCCACACGGGCTCCAATGGGCTGAATATCATCGAAGCAACACACGTGCTGCTGGTTGAACCAATCCTCAACCCTGCTCATGAGCTCCAGGCAATAGGCAGAGTGCACCGGATTGGCCAAACCAAGTAAGGAGCAAGCAATAAAGTGTGTCAGTAAACCTCTGAAGTTTCAGCATAACTTTGTAGGTCCTTTAGAGCTTCGTGTAGATGTGTTGCTGCATCTACACGAAGTTTCTGCATTTTTCTCATCTTGTGAGAATTGACTTCAAAGCTGCAGTTTATTTATTTTTTCTTAGATTCATGTTTAATACGAGTGCAACCTCTAGTTATTTAATAAAACTATAAATCCACAACTATGCAGCTTATATTTTGTCAGAAAATAAAGCACTTAGAGTTCAGCAGGATACACTGAAATTGATTTCATTAGTTTTTTGTTTTTATTCACCACTGTGCTCAGGGATATGCAGTTCTTCACCAAAGTGCACTTATATAGCATGCACACCTCTGTCAGTGCTGTACACACATCATTATTCACTACTTCTAGTTATAGATCTGCATCAGAATGCACAAATGCATGTAAATTAAATCCAACTAAGATTACTTTTTTTTT